AGGATCTTCCTGAAGCCCTAGCTGGCCTGGAATGTGGTATGTAGACCAGGTTGCCCTCCACCTCACAGAGATCTGCCTGCTCCTACCTCCTGAGTGCTGGGATTAAAGATGTGTGCCACTCTCTCCCTTAATATGCTCCTGAATTTGATTTGCAAATAGTTTACTAAGAATTTTTGCATTGTACACCTAAGTTAGGGAAATTGGTGTGTAATTTCCTTTTTTTTGTTATGTCTTTATCTGCTTTTGGTATTAGGGGAATACTAGATTTCTAAAAAGAGTTTGGCAATTGTTTTTCTATCTATTTAGCATTAGTTTTAGTTCTTCTCTGAGGGTCTAGAAAAATTCACCAGTGACTACATCAGGGCTTGGACTTGTTTCTTTCTTTTGGTTAGTTTGGCAAAGTGTTTTTCAATATTTCTTATCTTTTCAAAGAATTAGCTGGTTTTAAATTTTTATTTACTATTTTAATTTTATGTGTATGCATGTATTGCCTGCATGTAGGTAAGCGCACCCATGTCATGCAATGACTGTGGAGGTCAGAAGAGGCTGTTGGATCCTGGGACTGGAGTGCATTGTACACCTAAGTTAGGGAAATTGGTGTGTAATTTCCTTTTTTTTGTTATGTCTTTATCTGCTTTTGGTATTAGGGGAATACTAGATTTCTAAAAAGAGTTTGGCAATTGTTTTTCTATCTATTTAGCATTAGTTTTAGTTCTTCTCTGAGGGTCTAGAAAAATTCACCAGTGACTACATCAGGGCTTGGACTTGTTTCTTTCTTTTGGTTAGTTTGGCAAAGTGTTTTTCAATATTTCTTATCTTTTCAAAGAATTAGCTGGTTTTAAATTTTTATTTACTATTTTAATTTTATGTGTATGCATGTATTGCCTGCATGTAGGTAAGCGCACCCATGTCATGCAATGACTGTGGAGGTCAGAAGAGGCTGTTGGATCCCCTGGGACTGGAGTTATAGACAGTTGTTAGCTGCCATGTGGGTGCTGGGATTTGAACCCAGGTCTTCTGCAAGAACAACCAGTGTTCTTACCTGCTAATCCATCTCTCCAGCCCAAGAATTAGCTGTTTTAATGAATATTTTTGTTTGTTCATTTCTATCTCGTTAACTTATGCTCTGTTGTTAATGATTTGGGATTTGACTTGTTCTTTTCCCAGGGCCCTAAGGTGTACATATCATTATTTACTTGAGATCTTTCTGATATGATTTTTTATTTTTAAAATATTTTATCGTTTTTATGTGTATGAGTGTATTACTTGCATGTAAGTGCATGTGTGCTGCGCAGTGCCCATGGAAGTCAGAAGAGGGAGTTGGATCCCCTGGAACTGGAGTTACAGATGGTTGCTAGCTGCTATGTGGGTGCTGGAAACCGAACCCATGTCCTCTGCAAGAGCAGCCAGTGCTCTTTACTACTAAGTCATCTCTCCAGTCCCCCCACCCCCCAGTTTCTTAAGTAGGCATTTAGAACTGTAAACTTTCTTTCAAGGACTGCATTTATTGTATCCTATAGTGTTTGTATGCTTGTGTTTTCATTTTCATTGGATTCTAGGAATTTAAAAAACTCTTTCTTGACTTTTTATTTTATGTCTATGAGTGTATTGCTTACAAGTATGTAAGTGCACTCATAGCATGCAAGACACCCAGAGATCAGAAATGGGTGTCAGAGTCCCTGGACCTGGAGTTACAGATGGTTGTTAGCCAAACCCAGGTCCTCTGCAGGAGCAGCCAGTGCTCTTAACCACTGAGCCGTCTCTCCAGTCCCTCTTGACTTTTTAAAAGACACAATCATTATTCAATAATGTATTGTTTAATCTCTGAGTTTGTGTATGTTCTAGGGCTTCTCTTGCTGTTGACTTGTAGCCTTATTCTATTGTGATCAGATAGAATACAAGGAATTATCTCAGTTTTCCAGTATTTGTTGAGACTTGCTTTGTGTCCTAATATATGATCTATGTTGGAGAAAGTTGCAAGGGCTGCTGAAAAGAATGTGCATTCTTCAGTGTTTGAATCTGCAAATGTTTGTTAAGTCCGTTTGATCAGTGATGTCATTTCATTCACATATTTCCCTGTTAATTTTTGCCAGGAAATCCTGAGAGTCACCCAGTACTGTTGTGCTAGGGTTAATATGCAGCTTTACATTTAATAGTATTTGTTTTATAAAATTGGATGCACCAGTGTTTAGGGCAAATGTCTGGAACCATAATAACCTCTCGATGGATTATTCCCTTGATCAGTATGAAGTGACCATATTTATCTTTTCTCATTAGTTTTGTTTAGAAATCTATTTTGCCTGATGTTAGAACACTGACACCTTCTTGTTGCCTAGGTCCATTTGTTTGGAAGAACTTTTCCCATCCTTAAACGCTAAGGTAGTGTCTGTCTTTTTGTGGTGAGGTGCATTTCTTGGAGCAGGAAAGAGTTGATTTCTGCTTTTTGATCCAATATACTAGTCTGTGTCTTTTAATTGAGAACATTAACATTCAGGGTATTACTGAAAGATGTGCGTCGTTTTCTTGATTTTTTAGTGTCTGGGTTTTCCCCAATTCTAGCACCCCCCCCCATGGCCTTGCACGTGTATTCTCTTTTCTCTTTAGTGTGCAGGATCCCCTCCATATTTTCTGAAGATCTGGCTTAGTGGTAATAAATTATTTTTATCACAGACTTTAAAAAGATTTATATCTAATTCATGTGTGCATGTGTGTATACATGAGAGCAGGCATTGGATCCCCTGGAGCTTGAGTTACAGGCAGTTGTGAACCACCCAACATGGGCGCCGGGAATTGAACTTGGGTCCTGTGCAAGAGCAGTATAAACCCTTAACCAGTGAGTTGTCCCTTCAGATCTCATGGCAATTGTTTCCCCCTTCAATTATGACAGCTTTGCTGGGTATAGTAGTCTGGTTTGACAGGTGCTGTCTTTCAGAACTTGAAACACGAGGCTGTTTCTGAATTTTCAGTTGAATAATCTGTGGTTGTTCTGATGGGCCTGTCGTTATATGTGACTTAGTGTTCTCTCTTGCTTTCAATATACTTTGTTCTGTGTATTTAATTATGAGTGAGGTTCCTTGCTGGATTTGCCTGTTTGGTGTCCTAAATGTCTTCTGTATATGGATTGGCACTGCTTTCCTATTTTTGGAAAATTTATGGATTCTTTTAAATATATTTTCTATGCCTTTAAAATGAGATTCTTTATGCATATAACCTGTACATTTGTTTTTGTTCAGTGTTGTGTATATCACATTGGTATGATTATCAACGCCCTTGATTGTTCCAGTTCGTCCACCTTGTCTTCAAGTTCAGCTATTCTGTCCTCTCCTTGATCCACTGTATTAGTGAGAATATCCACAGAACTTTGGTTTTCATGTCCAGCATTTTGGATTGGCTATTCTTCAGTATTTCTTTGTTCAATTTTATTTCATATCTTGTATCCATTTTGTGTTCTCATTCAGGAGTTTAATTTCTTTTGATTTCTTTGAACATACTCTAAGTCCTGTCTTGGATTTCATCTCACTCTCACTAGATGCCATTACTATAGGATTACTAATTTTTGGAAGAATTGTCTTGGTATTTTGTGTTTTCTGTTCCTGTTTTGGGATTTACACATCTGACAATTTCATTGCTTAGTTTGTAATTTTTATCAGTTTTCTTTATTATGTAGGACTCTGATGTTCCTTAGTCCAGGAGCTCAGGCTGCCTGGTGTAAATTCCATATTATTGCTTGAGTAGGCAGCTTTATAAGGTGGGCGGGCAGGCAGGCTAGTGTGGAGAGCCTCCAGTGGGGCTGATTCCCAGCTTTCCTGCCTGCTTCCCTGCAGACAATCCCCCTGGCCTATTAAGTTTGTTTACAGACCTTGTTCCTTACAGGGTAAGAGCTGACTATGTATCACATTCACTCTTAAGAGTTCTGATAATTTTGAAATTCGCTATGCAGCAAAAAATAATTAAGTTTATCAGTTACTCACTGTAACACAAATGCTGAATAAATCACTCCAGACTCTATGGTTTCCAATTATAAGCATTTATTAACTCTTTAAAAATTTGCAAGGTGGTCCTACACAGATTCTGGCTGGGCCAGGCTTAGCTGGTCTAGGTTGGCATCAAATTTATCTCCTGAAGGGTAGCTAGCTTGTATAACACAACCTTACTGTGTCTGGCTGTTTGTTGGCTATCCAATGGTCCAGCAAAGGAGATTGGACCACATAGCTCTGATTTATCTTGCAGGCTAGGATGGGCTTGTTACAATGGGAGCTGGACAGGAGTAAAAAATAAATGTGTAAATATTCAAAACCTTCAAAGAGCATCTCAGTCAGTACACTATTTTTACTGCTTTATATTGGCCAAAACACACAAGTTGGTCCTCTAGATTGAATAAACTCAAGCTCTTGGTGGCAGAAACTAGTCACATGTTAGAGGTCACAAGTATATAGAATGTAAAAGTGTAGACAAACTGAAATAAGCTATTTTAAATAAGGTAAAAACCTGACTTGTTAAGGGGATACAAATTTCCAGTGTTGACAAGCATTAAGTTGTACTGAAACCATCCTAATTCCTATCTAAATTCATGAATGGACATTTACTTTATTCTTAATATCCTAAAGAGTCTGAGCTTCTCAATGATCTATTCAAGGGTTTATCAAGTATAATCTCAAAGTTCTTCTAACAAATCCAATCCCCTTTCACTTAGCTCTACTGATTTCAGTCTTTTCCTACTACTCTCCTTCTGCCTGAAGTTCAAGCTTATTTATTTTTCTATAAAAGTTCTCAGAAATGTCCGATCTTTTGATATTGCAACATAACACTGTCATCAGAAAATGTGTTGGGCAGCATTTACAGCCACCTTGGAACACGTGTGGCACATGGACCACAGGGTGGACATGCTTGCAAGTCCAGAGGCACCATAAAACACTATCCTGTAAGCACTGAATCGAACACAAGGTAAATTCCTCTACAGTCAGTGTGAAGCAACTAACCAAAATAAAACAGACAACTCAGAAGGTCAACAACTGGACTTTAATAATTTTGGCAATAGTGGTTTTTATTTCCCCAGATAGGCAAGTATAAAACACATAACAAAATGAAAACATTCTTTTTCCCCATAACTACTTTTTTTGTGTGTGGGGGGTATTGAGGGCTGAACCTAGGGCCTTGCACATGCTAGACAGGTGCTCCGATAAGCTGCATCCAGCCCTGTACATACTTAATACCTATGTTTAAATTTAACATGATATACATTTCCGAGCTTAGAAACCATCAAAGTAAAAAATTCTTGCAGTTTACCTTGAGACACATACATTTTTTATTCTGCTACTAGATATATTCTCTTGACATTTGATTCTGTATTCTTAACAGTATTTTGCCTTTTTAAAGAAATTACAAAAAGAAAAAAAAAGTACCCAGATTACCTATCATTTTTTTCTTAGGAGAAATTACAAAAGAAGTATCCAGATTACCTATTATTGTTTGAAGAGTACTTAGGAATAACAGTATCAAAGCAGCGACCAACTGCTGGTGTTACTCTTTATTTTTAGGATCTCTTTTTTGTAAATGACCTCTTCTATGTTCTGTTAAAAATGAATATAAGATAAACAATTATGTCCCGGTACTGGTGGGTTGAAATCCATTTAAACTCACAAATTCAAGTCAAGAGGATCCACTCTGAAGGAGAGCAACACTAACTAACATGAAACTGAGAAGCCAACTCTAGGAGATGAATTTTTAGTTTCCTTATTTCCTGTAGATGAAAAAAGATCCAACAGTTATGCAACATGCTTACCCCTGACAGTGCATCTTAAATACCAAGAAAGGTCACTACAAGAACCTGATTTCAGGTGCTCTGACTACATGTTATGGTGAGCAACCGAGGAGTATTACTGGCATTTTGGGTAAGTATTAGTTGTATGGGACTATCTCCAGCACTGCAGAATATTTTGTATTCCTGGCCCACTCACTAAAGCCCAGGTGTGTTCAAGTTCACTATGACAATCCTAAACATGCCATATGTTTCCAAATGCCTCTTGATGTGAATCATGGAAATAGATGATTTGAGATTACTATCTATTAACTTTATGACTTCCACAGAAAGCAACTGCCTCATGAGCTTCAGTAACAAGGACTGAAGAAACACACACACACAAAATAACTTATAAAGGTGATTTTTTTTTTTCTTCTCAAAATCATGGTGATTTGAAAGAATTAGATGCAAAAATGCAATACTTGTTTACCCCAAATGCACACATACATTTACAGGAAATGTTTTATCCTCTTTCTTTCTTAGAAAGGATCTTGCTATGTAGCTCAGGCTGGCTTGAACTTGTGATCCTCCTGTCTGTTTCCTAAGTTCCAGGATTCCAGGTGTGCACTACCAATGCCTGGTTATCAGCTTATCATCTTTAGTATAAAAATATGTTCATCCATTGCAGGAAGATAAATAACACATACAGGTTCGTGATAAATCTTCACACTGACGCTCCTGGAAACTGTTGCTGCCTTTGCTCCAAAACTTGTTGATTTAAAAGTTGTTGCTGCTTCTGTAAAAACTGCACAACTTCTGGACTTCTTAGTAATGACTTGAAGAGAGAAAAAGAAAAAATTATTCAATGCACTGCTCATTTTCTGTTTATTTTTGGAGATCAGGTCTCACACTATAGCCCAGACTAGCTTTGAACGCATGGCAATCCTCCTCCCAAGTGCTGGGACTGCAGGCATGTACCACTAAGTCCCTGGGCATGCTGGGAATATTATGCTTTTGAGACTAGGTTGTTTAATGTAATGGAATTACTCTAATGCATCCCTATACAAGATATAATATGCTTACAAAACACATGCCTGAATGGAATTCACTTTTGAAACTGATCTACTGACTGTAGTCAAACTAAAAACTCCTAATAAAATTTAACACCATACATCAAAATACTGACACCTAAAAACAAAGCTAAAGCCTGGTGTTACTGGTGATTCTGTGTGCAAAGAAAATGCCTTTTATATATCAGAAACACCTAAGGGCAAATGATCAAATATTGGCCCAGGATTATAGTAAGAAAAAATGGGGTCAGAAGTAAAAGTAAGAATTAAATGCCAGTTTGTAAATACAGATGAACTACTACTAGAATTTAAATTTCTCTCACTACCCTCAGTGTTCAGGAAGAAATAAAAAACTGTATGTGTTTGTAGATATTGCATATATAAAAACAATATTAGTCCATTTTCAAAATCTGAGAAAGGACTGTAACTCTTAACAATCAGTGCATTTTTTTGGTGCTTACTATTGTTTTGTGTTGTTTTTAATGTGTGTTAGCATGTGCGTATGTTTGTGGAGGCCAAAGGTCAACTTTAGGTGTCTTCCTCAGAATCTGTCCACTTTGTTTTTAGAGACAGGGTCTCTCACTGGCCTGGAACTTGTCAAGCATGCAAGGCTGGTTGGACCATGAGCTACAGGATCCCATTTCTACCTCCCCAGTGCTGGGATTACAAGTACATGCCATGATGCCCAGCTTTTTACAAGGGTGCTGGGATGGAACACAGGTCCTCATGCTTGAACAGCAAACACTTTACCAACTGAACTCTCTCCCTAGACCCTGTCCTCATTTTGAGTAGATTTACTTATTTTTAATGATGTGCAGTCTCTGTACGGGTTTGTGTGAGTGCACTGCTGCAGTAGCCCCAAGAGCACGTCTGAACTTCTGGGACTGGAAGTATAGGCAGTGGCTATGTGCTTCCTGATTTGGGTGCTGAGAACCAACCTGGGTCCTCTGGAACAGCAGTATGGGCTCGTAGCTATTGAGCCATCTCTCTAGCCCCCTGTACTTTCCATTTTTAAATATAGTTGTCATATAAATTTAACAGACTACTAGTTAGTGCTTTTACTATAATAAAATACTTCTATAAATTATTAATGAAAAAGCATTTTGACTTCAATAAGTTGAAAAGATAAAGTGGAAATTATTATTAAAACATTTATAAGAATTTTTGTTATATATTTTGTGTATTATGTTTAGTATATTTCTTTAAAATTAAAAAAATATTTTATGTGTATGAGTGTAATATCTACATGTAACTGCACCCATGTTGTCCAAAGCCTGTGAAGATCAGAAGAGGGTGTCGGATTCTCCTGGAACTAGAGTTATGGATGGTTGTTAGCTGCTGTGTGAGTGCTGGTAATCAAACCCAGGTCCTCTGCAAGAGCAGCCAATGCTCTTAACTGCTGAGCCATCTTTCTAGTCCTGTATATTTCTTATTTATTAAATACTTTGAATTTTTTTGTAAAGACTGTCCAATATCCTATTAATATCTAGCTGTTATGGAATGAATGTGCATTTAGGATTTTTAAAATATCTTACTATTATCATAAATACATTTATGGCAGTAATCGTGCTGAACTTTTTACATTTAGGATTTTTAAATGTGCTATCTTCACATTAAGTTTGATTTCTGAGTCAAAAGGGATGACCATTTTAAAAACTCCTTACACACATTGCCCAGTTACTTTCTAAAACCTTTACACCAACACAGGATGCCATCGACAGAATGGAATTTTACTTTTCATGAAATTTCCAATAGTACTACATATAATCTTTCATAAATTTTGCTTATTGTTTATTCTGTTATTTTGCTGATAAAGACAGAATACCTTTATCACCAAACAGTAATAGTTCTACTTTTTGTATGTTTATATATTTCATAATGGATTGAGGTCAAAGTGTTTCCTCATCAAATTATATGCACGCTTTTTGTGACAAAATAACAACCGTGTTAACTGGTCTTTTTTATATTTGTTGCACTTAAGTTTTCCTATGTTGCTTTACAGTTTAAGTTTTGTCACTGTCTTTGACTACAACATTCATTTTTCGTTTTATATTTCCAAGTTTGTAAATTTTTTTGTTATTCTTTTAAAACCTCATTGTAGATTTTAGAGATTAAGTCCAAATTCCATTTTTAAAACTTTCAGACTCCAAAAAATTTATTCTGATGTATATAGTGAGCACAGCATGAGCTAGACTCCTCCTCCTTCAAGTTACTGCCCAATTATCCCAATATTTAGTGAACAATCTCTCCGTTCCTGATTGACTTCTGATGATTTCTATCAACTTTATAACAGATATATCCCTATTAAATATTGGCTTAATTATATGTCAGTACCATTAAAGTGTTGTTCAATAAACCTTAGAATTCAGTAAAAGGAAAGTTTGTTTTAAACTCTCATCTTAGTCCAACATTATAAGACTCTAGTGTGCACCAGCAATGAGGCACAATTCAATTCTGAAGGCTAATGGACACTTTAAAAAATGTCAAACATCTAAAAATAGTTCCGCTGAAAACAATTTCCAGTAACAGTTTCACAACTACTTTACAAGAAAGTACATACCAGTCTTTTCTGATTTAACACTTGTTCTAAAAGAGTTGGTCTTGCAGGACGATCCCCAAAAGATCCTGTTCTTTGTTTGACAATGGAGAGTATGCTATCTGTACTTTCCTGGGATAAATGATAAGACACAAATGAGAAGAACAGTTAACACAGTAATAAAATCCACAACAGCAGGTGTCTCAGTAAAGCAATGGTTAGGGCTTTGATTTTCTTCCTTTTGCTCAGGTCCTGAGATACTTGAGGAAAGCCCTTTGCTAAGTCATAAGCGGGGTGCTGGCAAAAGGGAAAGCTACTTCCTTCAGGATTTCCAACCTGGGTTCTTCAGTCTCTTGCAGGGTCTCAACCTGATAGTGTATCAAAGGGAAGGGCAAAGAAGAAGTTACTTGTGAACTGTTTTCAATACTACAAAAGCCTGCCAAGTGAAACTCAATTCTCTTCACATAGATCTAAACCAAAACAGTCTGCTTACTTTTGGATGAAATAAATGATCTCAGGGATCTATCTATTGCTAATGACCTACAATGAATAAATTTTTGCCCATTTATAGCTGGGCGTAGTAGTGCATGCCTTTAATCCCCATCCTTGGGAGGCAGAGGCAGGCAGATCTCTCCAAGTTTAAGGCTAACTTGTTCTACAAATCAAGTTCCAGGCTAGCCAGGACTGCACAGTGAGACGCTGGCTCAAAAAAAAAAAAGGTTTTGCCCAATTCACACCCCAAAAGGAGAGAGGCAGCACACTACTGCTTAAAGAAGCAAATGACAAAGCTTTTAGAATTTGGGTATCAGGAGGCCATTCATAAACTGGCTGGAAAAGGATAGAAATCACAAGTACGAAATCACAATCACTGGTACAGATAAAATAAGCATTTTAAAATAATAACCTTACTCTAAGACATCAAAACTCAAACAAAACCAGCAGCACTCACTACTGAATATAAATCCCCAGTTACCTAAATACTTGAATATTCAATGCTTTTCCTCACATAACAATACTGCTGTAGTTGAAACCACAGAAAGACTGACCACATCTGAAAGGAAATTGGGAGGGGTTTTGTAGGGGAGTATCTAAGGCTTGACATGCTGAGCATGTACTCTGCTACTGTGCTATGCCTCCTTCATTCTTACTAAGCAAAACTGTAAGATCCTCATGAAGTCATTCCTTACATGAATTTAGTCTTGTTGATTTTCACTTGGGATATTATCTATGCTGTTTTACTTCTTTTATCTACTGGCTTTGGAGTGTCTGTTAAATATACCTCTTTTGTTCTTTTATTGTGAGTTTAGAAAACTTGTTATAAAAATATTCCACACATACATGTTTTAGCTTTCAAAATACTAACCCCCACCCCGCCGCCCCACGGCTCTAAGACCCACAGAGAGTGAAAGCAATTCCTTCCTCCCATTCCACCTTTCTTTAAGGACTGTTTGGTTTACATGCACAACACACAGAATGCTAGAACTGACTTGACACAGAGCACCCCAAGTTCTTACAACCCAAAGCACTGTGTAGATTTAGGATATTAATAGCACGAAAACCACAGAAGCATGTAGTGGAAATAATTTTAAGTCATCTAGCCTAGTTTTCTACAAATGTTAGAATTCTGTTTTCAGAGGCTGGAGAGAAGGCTCAGTGGTAAAGAACACTGATTATTTTTGTAGAAGGCCCGGGTTCGAATCCCAGCACCCACACAGCAGGTAACAACTGTCCATAACTCCAGTGTCCCAGGGCATCCGACAGCCTCTTTTGACCTCCGCAGGCACTGCACGACATGGGTGCACTTACCTACATGCAGGCAATACATGCATACACATAAAATTAAAAAATAGCTAAAAAAAAAAAAATTCCCTTTTCAAAGGGAATTTTTGCGGTAAGGAGCTTATCAAGTTTTAGGCATTGTATTTTGTTTTCAACAGCCCTGACACTTAGGTGGTTTTTACTGAGGTTGAGCTGAAATGCGTATCTATTGTGATTTTTATCTCATTTAAATAAATCTAAAGACACAGGAGGAAACATATAGTCAATATAGTTTTAAAAGACCACGTAAATTCAGGGTTGGGGATTTAGCTCAGTGGTAGAGCGCTTGCCTAGCAAGAGCAAGGCCCTGGGTTCCGTCCTCAGCTCTGGAGGGGGGGAAGTGTATGTAAAATTTGGTTTACAATGTTTCATTCATCTGCTGTTACTTCCACTTCACTGGGCCAGGCAATGTTTTCATTTTGGTATATTTTTCCTGTGTGTTGCATGCTATGTCAAATACAAATGATTAAAAAAAAAAAAAAAAACAAAAAAAAAAACCAGACCTGGATCATAATGGTTAGATTTTGATGACATAATCCAGGAGTTTCTTAATAGCCTTACTAGCTGTTCCTCTCTCCTGAAGATTGTGTTCCTGCCTACTAAGCTTCATCTACAACAGGGCCTAGGAACGAGCCTCTTAGCAACAAAGGACAATATATATTAAAAATAAATCCCCCCTGCACAAAATATGATGCTTGGTCAACAGGGTGAAAAAACTGAGAATGAAAACTCCCAGAAAGACACAGAACCTTAAACTGAAACTTCTGCAAGGCTGATTAACTGATCTGAACTTCAATGGCTGTGGAGAAGCTGGAAAGTTGCAGGCCACAGCCCTAATTACAATTTATCTTGGGCTATCTTTAGCTTTCATAAAAGCTAATTCTTTGCCCATCTCTTTGACCCAACATCCTTGTGACTATCAGATGAAACCTTTTGGCATGTAGTAACAGACCACTAGTTTACACTAGCCAAAAGGCTAAGAATGGACAGCATCAGATTTCCCTGCTTTATTTTCTTCTTAAATATTTATTATCTTTATTTTATGTGTATGAGTGTATTGCCTGAATGTAAGTGCATACTTGGCCCATGGAGGTCACAAGAGGGCCTCAGATTCCCTGGAACTGGAGTTACAGATGTTGCTAGCCACCATGTGAGTGCTGGGAATCAAACCTGGGTCCTCTGCAAGAGCAGCCAGTGCTCTTAACCACTGAGCCATCTAACCCCATCCCTGATCTGTTTTAATTCCCCCACCTGATGTTTCCACCACTGTATCTGAAAAGTGTCTTGATTTATTACTTTATTCTGTTACTATAAAACTGTTACTACTACATTGGAATATGGTATTTGGGGAAACCTGAATCTGTATTCCTGGGTCACTGTCAAATTTGGCTCCATAACAAACCTGGGTCACTGTCAAATATGGCTCCAGAATAAACCATCTCTTAGGTTTGAGGTGAGAGTGAGCCTCTGTGTTGACAATGCAATATATGCATTTACTTTATCTACTCGTATCTGTTGACACATACCTAGGTTGACTCCGTAACTTGTCTACTGTGCAAAGTGCCATGACAAATATGCAGGTATCTCTTTTGAAAATACCTTCAAGACCCCTACACTCCTACCACCTACTGTTCTATAATGACCTCCTAGTTGATCTATAGGTCTTTCAACTTTAACTCATCCACCACAACAGCAACCCCTAGAAATCTTCATTTAAAGACTCCAAATTCAAATCTTGTAGCTGGGCATTTAATACTATACAAATACTAACTTCAGTTTTTTCCAGGTTTTTTATTCATGGATTTTCCACACCAGCTAGAATAGTTCCTTTGCTATCTTCTCAAAGGTGTCTTCTGGTTTCCCACTTTCTTTTTATTTTTATTTTTTTTTACTAAGATGGGCTTCTCCTTCTTCTTACCTACCAGAATTCTAGGGAAGTAGTATAGTAGGGGAGCAGTGGTATAGAATCATCCTGCTTATGGTAGGCCAGGATTCTAACCATCTTGATTTTTGACTGATTTCATCTAGACTTAGGTTACCTGTAACACACAGTTATAAAGCAGGATGAGCACAATTACTAACCTGTGATGCCTGTACAAAACATTTTGCTTTTTAACCTTTTTTTGGGGGAGGGGCGGCTTGGGGCTCTTGCTGTGAAGCTCAAGCTGGCCTGGAACTTGCTAGCTAGCCCAGGCTGGCCATAAACTCATGATTCTTCTATCTCAACCTCCCAGGTGCTGAGATTACAGGTACATGTCAGGTCTTTCTGAACTATTTTTATTTTATTTGCATGTGAATGTGTGGTGTTATGTGTGTGACTGCGGCTCAAGTGTGTATGGACATATGTTCAAGGGACTGTGGAGACCAGAGGCTGACACTTATTCACCTTACATAGAGGCAGGTCTCTCATTTGAATCGAGGCCTCACCCAGCTGGCTAGTGTAGTTAAACAGCATGCTCCAGTGATCCTCCCTCTTGGCCTCCTCGAGGTAGGCTGCTATGCCCACCTGAAACTTATTTTATGTGTGTGCTGGGGAAATCACCTCTAGTATGCTCTAGTGGCAAGCACTTTACCCTCCCCAGCCCCTTGATGCATTTTGTAAATGAATGTGGTCCACCTGTTGATAAGGATTATACTTGTGTGACTGTCCTTAGTATACTTATGTTTATGCTTGTAAAACATGCATGCTGTTATTGCCTTATTCTGTAAAGTGACCTATGAAGTGTTCTTTTGTATTTTTACGTTTACCAAATCTCCTTTAAAAAATGTAAATGTCTTGTGAACATTTAAAAATTATTTTTTTCCCACAGTTGTATTTTGGGGATTTTGATCTTTCAGGATTTTAACATTTTGGAGTGTGGCCTAAACCTAAACATATTAACACTAAATAGGATACAAGTTTGGGACGAAAAGTCACTACACTAGCCATTATAAATTAAGCAGGTTGAAGATCGGAGATTTTGGAGATATTTTGGATATTCCAGGAGACACCATTCATTTGTAAACATTATTTTTGGATCACTGCTAACAAAATTAGATTTTTTTTCTTTTGGCACCGAGAAATTATAGCTTTTTGTAATGGGGGGGAAAGCAAATCCAGTGATCTAGCAGCTTATGAGGCAAGCTTAGGGACTTTTAGTACTTACTGGGCCCTGTGTGAACACTTAATCCAGAATGTCCTATATTCACAGAACCACTAAGAATCAGGCATTATTTCAGGGCCAATTGACAAGGAAGCTGAAAATCAAGAGACGTTAATATGCTCAGGTCCAGAGAGTCAGCAAGTGATGGAGTGGGGCTCCGCAGTCAGAACCCCAAATTCACAGCACTGGCTTTCAAATCCATCCGAAAGGGCTCTGAAAGTTACACCTCCTTAGACACCCAACTTCTCCACTTCAGGGTAGTAAGAAAAAGGTAGCACAGGGTAGTTACTGAACAGGGGCACTGAAGAGTACTGTCCCCCGTGTTATGTTCTACGAACAGGGATTTACCAGTTCAGGGACGCAGGGAGTAGGAAGAACGGGAACAGGGTACTGAAAACAGTATTGACAACAGGGAGGATGACCTCCTAAGTACCACTCTCACCTGGGTTCAAGGTCTCACTACCTCAGCACAGGATGGAGCGGACAAGGGTTTGCTGCACAGGTTAGCAGCCGCTCTGCCCAGCCCATCCCCCTGGGGAGCAGGGGTGCAGGAGTTGGGGTTCCCCCGTGGCCGGGCCTCGGAGCATACCTCCAGCTTGACGCTCCCGGGGCCGGCGGCGGAGGCGGAGGCGCCAGAACTGAGGGCCTGGTCGCTCTTCTTTTTCTTGTACTTGTCCTTGTACATCTTGTTGCGGTGCTTCTTGCACATCCAGGGCTTCCGCTGCTTGGCCACCTGGCTGCTGGTCTCGCGGCAGCCCTCGTAGGTGCAGGTCTTGGCGCCCCGCCTGCGCGCCTGCGCGCCGCCCTCCGCCTCGTCCTCCAAGTCCTCGGGGCTGGCCGCGCTATCGCCGCCGCCCGGGGGGTCCGACGTGTCTAGCAGGTCCGCGTCGTCGTCTCCCGCCTCCTCCTCGGCGTCCGCGGCTTCACTGCCCGTGGCCCGGCCTCCTCTCGGCCCGCTCGGAGCCGCGGCCTCGTCCTGGCCCGCGCACGGCCGCATCACCAGTACCGTCAGCGGCTTCGGGGCCTCAGGCCCCGAGCCCTCCACAGCCTGCGCCTCCGTGCCGCCGCCCGCCCGGGGTCCGAACCCCGGCTCACCGCGCCTAGGTGTCCTAGGAGTCCAAGAACGCCGCAGGCCGACAGCTGGAACCGCCACGGCCGCAGCCACCGCGCGTGCGCCGGCGGGCTCACAGAGGAGGGCTGAGCGGCACGACTGCGCATGTGCGGCCCCGCCCCCGCTGGGTCCGTGGCAGGAGACTCCGACGCTGTCGTACAAGGTCTTTTTATTTTGCCGGAACCACCGTTCTACCTAAACATTTCAAAGTACTTTTCCACTAGAATTCCACTATGCTAATTAAGAATGTTCCAGAGACCCGATGACGGGGAGTTTGAGACCTTAGGATGCTATTATATAATGATAACGATAATGGTAATGATAATGGCCTCAGACTGGCTGATACGGGAGATGTGCAGGTGTTGGTGGTGTAACTTGACCCTGCTCTTTCACAGTCAGGTCTTTTCACCGTCTGGCTAGGGAAAGGGGCCTGTTTGAACACACTGGACTGGAGGATGAGCCAGCCCCTGGCCAAGCTGTTTATGTGTAGAGAGAGATGATTCTATTGACGAAGTTTTCCTGGGAACAAGCTTACTTGAATTTCAGTACTTGCCCTTTGCTCTGTTCCTTAATTCATGGCAGGTGGTATGGCTCTGGTTTGTAATCCCAGCCTAGGGAAGTGGAGGCAGAAGGATCAGGGGCTCAAGGCCCTCCTCAGGTACATAGAGAGTTTGAGGCCAACCTGGGCTACATGAGACCCTCTTAAAAAACAAACCATATCTAAACAAAACAAAACCCCCAAACAAGACAAAGCAAACAACATAAAAACAAATAATGAAAATATGAGAGGAGCATCAAATGACAAATGCTAAAAATAGTGCTTAGCCATATGTGATGGTGTACGCCTTTAATCCCAACCTTCAGGAGGATGAGGAAGGAGGAGCTCAGTAAACGTTAGTTTGAGGCCAGCCTGGGCTACATGAGTACCTGTCTCTAAAAACAACCCAACCAAGAAAATAAACAATGATCAATAAAACACCCCTTTACTCTCAGCCAAACTGTCTCCTGGGATGCCTCTGCTAGTGTTGTATAAAGTTGTCATAACATGGGGTCTTCTTTTACACGCTGAAACAAAGCTTGGCTCCAGAGCTGATGGTGAAGTCATCCTCGAAGGCTTCCAGTTCACTTTCCTGAAGTAGATGGTAGTGGAGTCACTGCATACTTGGCAGCAACACTGTCACTTAGCAGCACACAGAAACAGAAACAGCAGCTTTACCAATGAGAATTTATTCATGTGGATTGGTGTTGCAGGATCTTCAGAGACAACAATGATACACAGGGGAAAGCAGACAATGAAAAGACTTTTGGACAAGAAGCCTGGGCAAGTGAAGCGTGACCACCCATAGTCCCAAGAGGGAAGCCATCTGCACATCTCATCACCGCAGATGGGCGCCTGGTTGAGTACCACAGTGACAAAGTAGTGTAGATGAATACTCACCTTATCTAAATGTTAAAATTCTGCACTTGAAGCAGTTTGGAATTACTCTCATGCTTTATAGGAATGTTCATTTGGCAGAGTGATTGGCATATCTTGGAGCCAGCATGAGCATCAACATAGATCCACTGATTCTGGGAGGCAGCAGTGGGGACTCATTGCATGAAACAGTCAAACTGAATCCATGGATGGCCAGTATGGTAGATAGTGATCAAATGATTGGTGAATGTGAGAAATCTGCCTGAAAATCATGCACAGATATCCTAGACCATCATAGACCACTATCAGCTTCTCAGAAGACTGTATTCAAAAAGCATGCCAGAGAATGGGCATAATTATGTGATTGATTATTTGTCAGCTGGTCCATTAACCTACAAGAAGATTCCACATGTGAGTTTCTCAGGCTGATTATTGTGTTCTCTGAAAGGACTGGAGCAAGGTGGGAGATATTTTACACAGGGGAATCGTGTTAATTTTACAGAAGCCCTGACTTCCTGAAGAACAGTTTGAATGCCTGTACTGACCTGGGGAATTCTCAAAGGCCGTTTGTGTTCCTCATACCTGGAACTGTGGGTGCTTGAAGTTTGGAAGGACCTAAGCCTTGAAGATGAACATTTCCTAATCACTTGTGCCACAAATAGCCTTCCTGACTGCCGTATGCTATGCACATCAGAATGAACTGAGCAATTGGCTTGAAATCCTTCAAGTTCTCAGATTCAATTATTATTTTCAATTTTAAGGAGCCATCAGGAAATGTGTAATTTTGATGAGCTAGGGTGGAAATTTCTTGAAAGTTCTGTGAAGAGCTATTACCACAGTAAAGTTAGGAAAAGTACAGGTCCCTTAGAATGTGACTTCATTACTTTTATTTCTGTGTGGTTTTTTTTCCTCTCAAGTTT